CAGTGCAGCTTGAATATGAACACGAACCTTAACACATAGGCTTATACCAAGGGATTGCTCCTTTGAATTTTGCCCCTTATTATATGCTATACCCATACATTATTCAAAACGTTATGGGTCAGTAACGTCTCCCCCGAATATTTCGATCAAATGCTACTACGAAATTACAAACACTTGAATATCTTAATAAATTCAATTTGGTTGTTACTTTGCTATTATTTTTTAACTAAATTTATTATAAATATCTCATAGGCAAGTATGCTTAAAGTATATGCCAAATTACATACTTTTATTTTACTCACAATAATTGAGACACTTACATAATGATGAATCAACCAGCTTTATTATCAGGATTTGCTCCTTTTACTTACCACAGTATAGGCGACATAAATAAACAAAATTGGTAATCGATCCAGCACAATCTGGAATAACTTAACTTGAACATCATAGCCCTTAAATCTTATTCGATTGTGAACCAACCTACAGTTTTAAAATATAAAACTTAACTCAACAGACAGGCTAAATAGGCTAACAATATTAGGGGATTTGCATAGCCAAAGAGCATCTCGCATAGAAATAATTGAGCTATATACATATTAGTCGACCATATCAACATTATTTTCAAAACCTATTGATGCATATTGCATTTTATAGGTTGCTCAAGAAATTCAGTAATTATAGATGCAAACCCAATTTTAATTTTCCCAAGATTTTAATTTGTTGCACATTATATCGATTACTTTATGTACCTTTATATTAACCAAATCGTATGCATTAAGAATATCTGGTTACCCAAAATATTTCCTGCAATAGGCATTGGTTAAGATTATGAGCTGTCCCACTCCCAGTATTAGTTATAGATCGAGATGGAAGGAGATTTTTTTCTTGTCTCCTGAGGTTATATTCGAATTTTTTTACTTTATCTAGGGGCTGCGCATTCCTATGCCTTTCAAAGTAGTTATTTGGCTTAGTATTTTGGGTAGTCAAAGAAATAGTCCCGCTGGATTTTCTAATAAGACCTAGGTAAGCTTTAATTTGTATCCTACGTTTGGCCTAAGGTAATATAGGATACATAAAAAAACAGCCTTTTACGTATGATTTTTCCTTAATTTTAATATAACATTCTTTATAATTAAATCATAAAAAGGCCGGATCGTCTTAACTAAATAACTGCAGCCACAATTGGTCGTTTAAAGTTATAAAAAAGCGATAAATAAAATTTATCATAGTGAAATTTCCCATCAATTTTCAAGGTTTACTGATAGTATCTAAGCCTATCAATGATGACTATTAGTGACGCAGTCAATCTAGCTGACAAATAAAATTTCGCTATATTTATAATCTCGCTATAAATGTGATTTAGGAGATATCTTGCTTACCTTGAAAGTCACGTCGGCCTTGCGACCCACCGGCCCCATTGCTGTAGAGCGTAGTTGTTACAGGTCACTACTACTATTCTGCCCGATTCACATTTGGGGTTCTGAGGAGACTCTAGAAAGACTAAACTGCAGTCTATCTTGGAGTAAAATACTTTCTTGGAGGCAAATATGAGTGAAATTCGACATCATCGTGAGTATTATTTATGCCATTGTGGAAAAGTTCAACTAGCACTCCTTACTCAACTTATGTGAACTAGGGTAATTAAACTTCTCCAATATGTATTGGTAATATCTGAAATAATTCATTGTGAATATACTTCTTAACATAAATCACGTTTACTAATTGCTCCGCCCTGTAATTTAGGAAATTGTTTTCCATGATATTAGTAATGGCTATTTGAAATCTAAAACTTTTCTTTGTCCAGGAAACAAGTATAACTATCGTTCCTTTTCCTTTTGTTATGCTTAATTAAACGATGAATGCGACCTTAAGATAATTATTCTGTTTTTCTTACATTCATATTATTTTAAAAATTCATTTAATAAGGAATTGCTAAATTATGTGTTAATTTATTCTTTTCTTAAAGCTCCATTATTTGTTCGAAGACATTTCATAAGGCTATAAGCTCTTTCCCAATTGTTTTTATTTCATTTTGGATGCATTCTATAAATATGTCTATTGATATAAAATCCCCAATAAATTATATGATAGATGATTATCCAACCAATTTATGTACCATAACCTTGGAGAGTTTTCAAAGAGAACATATAACACTGGTTTAAAACTATTTTTGATGTCTCGTGCTTATATAAAATCGGAACCCATGATTCATCCATATCTAAAGTAATCTACTAGGTTATTTGTATTAACATCAAAATATAAAGGTTTATTCTAATAACTTATTTTTACTATCACTTTATTTAAAAGAGGACTATAAAACTAGCTAGAAGTCTTAAATTTGTAAATAGTGTACATACCTGCCGACATGAAGCATGATATTATCCACAAAACTTGTGAAAAGTGAAGAATAATGAGTCCATGATGGATTTCGAGGCCTCTAACTGGCTTAATATGGCCTCTCATCTTACTAATAGTCACAAAGTTAAGCAAAAATTTGGTATAGATATTTATGAAACTAAATAATGAAATAAATGAAGAAACAGTTTACACCTTATCCTCAATATGAAGATGGAGTAAAGCTTAGATAATGCTTATGACTAATGCTCAGATCTGTCTTGCATTGTTCAATGGGTCTAGTTTTCCTTTTGTTAAAAAAGGAAATGTTTCGCCAATTTACATCTATATTTTGCCAGCCATAATGGGAAAAAGAATTATGTTTTTATGCAAACATGTTAGATTTACATAAAGTAATAGTTTTATTTACATTTTTTCCTATAGGATTTTCCTTTAAACATTTCATTATTAAGATATGAAGACCAAGATGGTGTGGCCTTTTGTGTGGTCGCAATATTGAACCGAGTCAAAGCAAGCATAACCACAACATTTGTGGGTTGGCACACAAGAGACTAGGATATGAGAAGTCATAGCCTTGGTATTAGAGATAGAAACAGGATATACGCGTCGGCGATGGGAGCAAGTGGACTGACAGTAGTTTTTATAAGAGACGTGGTCCATTTGGCAAAGGCCTGACCATGACACTTACTCG